GTGGCGGTGTTTTTGCTCGCACATGCAGACCCAGCAGAGGAAGCATGCATGTTTTTCATGTAGTTCAGGCTCAGTTTAATATGATGACCCAGCCTTGAACTGTGGTTTAGCAGTTAGTCCTCATGGTAGGTGAAGCTGAAGGACCCTTTTTGTGGGGGTCTCCTCTCGTGTGCACTTTCCTGTGCACTCTAATGCTACTGCACACTTGAGTGCTCGCCTCCACCAAATACTGACCGTTTCTTTTCTGTTTCCTTTTCCACTCTTTCTCCATTCTCATCTCTCCTCACCCGATCCTCTGCTCCATCTGCCTTTCTACTCCCACCACCTCCTCTTTCCATCTCCCAAACACTGTTCCACCTCACCTCTGCGGCCCTCCTTTCCCATCACCAATTCACCTTTCCTCTTCTCTACCTCCACCCTTCCTGTTTCTCCTGTGATCGGCTCCTCTAGTCTCCAGAGGGGAAAGGCAGCGAGTCCCAGCCCACTCCAGTGACCAATCGAGAGCTTCTGGGCTCCCATCTCACTGCTGATAGGCTGGGCGGGTCTGTCCAGGTACTGAGAGGAAGGGTTGGCTCTGTCTGTCTGTCTGCCTGTCTGTCTGCATGACTTCCTCTGTCTCTGCAGAAGGGCTGATCTCAAGTCTGTTACAAAGCTGAAATATCCCCACACGCGGGACCAGTTCTTACCACATCATGTTTGATAGTGTCCTACATTAATTTGGCAGTATTTATGTCTTCACCCTTCTGTTACTGTCAGCTTTAGAGGGGGGGCTCCTCTGTAGATGGAGAAGAGGTTACAAAGGTCACGTGATGATGTTTGAACACATCAGTGACAAAGAGCCATCAGTTCATAATTAGCAGATTAGTTATTGCTGAAAAACCAAAAGTGGAACTTGTGGCTCTGCTGATGAAACGTTTAGTCAAGTATCCAGATTACTTAACGTGTTGATCATCGTTTGTGTGCACAAGTTACACCTTTTCCAATTGCCCGATCAAAGATCAGCTGGTGAGGTGGATGTGTCGGTGTTGCTGTTTGCCTCGAATACATGTGACATGGTGGTAACAGCGTCACGACGGCAAACACTTTATCTGGCAGCTGTGTCGTGCTGCGTGTCGTGCTGCGTGTCGTGCTGCGTGTCGTGCTGCGTGTCGTGCTGCGTGTCGTGCGGCGACATCAAATCAAATGTTTGGTCTGTGATTTCTGCAGGTGTGGAAGCAACACGCAGAGCTTCACAGCAGCATGTGTAGCACTGTGAGATAAATATAATGAACAAAGCAAAGATGATTTGTATACACGAGTCTGCTGTCATGTTGCTAAACACGTGTCCCCTCTGGTGACCTGTGAGCGTTTGGAATGGCGGTGGCGTGTTTTTAACACAAAGCGTTGGCAGCTGCTTTGGTCAGACGCACGCTCGGCCTCGTTCTCGTCACTTCTCTCTGAGGTGTGAGAGGTTTGAGGAAGATTTCAAAGAAACGAAAAAGCAAACATTTTCATCAGCAGTAGAAACGGCGTGAAACAAACGGAGCCATCGAGCAGAGCACATATATTGAAATGTGTGCTTTGAATGATTCGTGTGCTGCACGGCAGTAAAACGTGGATGTGTGTGCAGAGCTGTTGTGTCCACATCAAGCTCAAATTCATCCTCTCGTCTGTGTATGAAGAGTTTTAGTGTTTAATGAAAAACCCCAAATTGACCCCAAACGCCACCTGGGTGGGAACGAGCAGTTGGATCTGACTGAATGTGGACATAATGTCGACTTTTTTGATTTCTTTTCTTTGTTCCACCAAATTTCAGAAGTGTGACCTCTGTGCTCATCACGCTTCTCCAATTCTGTCCTTCAGGTGATGAGTTCAACCAACGGTGAGCTGAATACGGATGACCCCACTGCAGGACACTCCAATGCACCAATCACAGCCAACCCAGAGGTTGAAGTCGCTGACGATACCAAGTAAGAATTCAAGGATTACAATCTTTTTTTATTTTTCACTTCAGTGTAGGTTCAGTTTTTTCTTTCAGCTCAGATTTAAACTGAGGAAACGAGACGGTGCTGTAACACACTCACACCCAGCATCACTGCTTCACACACACAGTAGACTTTTACTCTGAAACTTCCTGCTTCAGGAAGTGCTGACTCTGCATTCACTGTATGTTGACAAACCTGTCACAGTGCTGTGCGCCTCTCAGCCACTGCACAGGCTGAGCCCATCTTTGGGGATAACACAGTAATAACTGTTTTGGGAACATTACATATTAATAATGTAATCAGCAGTGATGGAGCAGACGATGGGACACACAGGAGGCTATAGAGATCGACAGACCACGTGACTTTCGCGCATTGCATTGTGGGTACGAGTGGCAGCAAAATCAAAACACTGCATCAAGCGCTAGTATTTCCAGCACCGCTAATCATTAATTCTGCAGTTTTAATCCCTACTTGCATTTTATTTGCCCCCAAAAACAGCTCTGTACAAAACGACAGAAACACAGCAGCTCCGTACGAAGACAGAAAAGTAGGAGGAAAACTGAAAGGAGTGGAAGGGTCAGACCCACACAAGCACAGAGTGGAGTAAGCACGTTAGCGTGCTGCACAACTTTCATCACGCACACATTTATTATTATATGGTCCTAAGTGTGAGTGCACACACTCACAACATGTTTAGTAACTTCAGATCCTGCAACAAGCCCAGGGCCAGTTTACTTTGGTGATTTGGACGACTCCATCTCACAGCTGCTGTTACAGACCAACACCATGTATTTGTCCTTTCAGGTTGTAGTGTTACACAACATTTTCAAATCTAGTAGAAATAAAACGAGTGTTTCGTAATTCATTCAATTTGTTGTCTTTATTTATAACTGGCATTATTGTTTCGTTCTGTTACAGAATCTTACAGGAAAGAAGCAACGTTGTAAAAGTCCATCAGCTTTATTAGCTGCTTCGGTGAAAAACAAATCAACAATGCAAAACAACATAGTGGAAAACAGTTATTCATCACTTGATTGCTTCAATACAACACTTGGGCACATGTATGCAGACGTTTCGTGGCTGTTTTGATCTCGCGCTCTCTCTTCACCGATCAAATCTGGCTGTGTTAGCAGCTTTAAACTCGGTCTGACCCAGGCTGATGGAGGGGCCCAGTCTGGATCACATCCCAGCATTTTGTAGGCTGGTTTTCCTACAAAACACAACAAACATTAGCCCGCAAAACCACAGTGAACAAAGCAGCATAGCAACGAATTCAATTCAAATCAATATAAGACTTATTTGTAACCTACATCAACAAAAAATGTTGAAATGCTTGGAGCAGACTAACCTGTGAGCTGCAGTGTTCTGGGACGTTATATTTGGTCTTCGAATGGCTGCAATCCAGACCATCCATCGCCTCTTTGGTACTTCGGAAACATGACTTGAACAATTTCTCTTCCACGATGGAATCCGATAAAAAACGATCTCTTTACCCGTCGGCTTCCCGTGGCTGTCATGCGACTATTGCAGTTAATAATACAACAGCTTCTTGACATTCTTTGTTTCTTTTTATCGCTGTGTGACTGTTTTCATATGAAAGCCTGCGTGCACTAGTACCACTTGCCACTCGTACCTACAATCCTTTGCGGTTTTACCCCAGAAATGACGTCACATTTTCCATCTCTGTCATAGGCCTCTTTCACTGCAGGAGCTACTGGGTGTTTTTTGGGTGCTGCACACCTTTTTATTTGTGCCCGCTGCAGTATCGCCCCCTGTAGGAAGTCTTAAAACGCTGCCACAGCAGGGCAGCGTTTTAAATCCCCAGCAGAACAAAGGAAGGGGATCGGTGACAGCGTGCATGCACCACATGCGTGCACCACATGCTCGGCTATGCAGCATGTGGTGAGGTGTGGCAGCATCGCCGTGGCTGCTGCTGTGCACAGATACACAGAACATGTAAATGACAGACTGTTAACAGCAGCTTGTGTGTTGCAGGTGCTGCTGTTTCTTCAAGAGGAGGAAGAGGAAAGCTCTCCAGAGACACAAATGAAGACAAACAAGGGAACCTGTGGCTCTCCTCTTCACATCTGTTCTTTTTGTTTCTTTCTCTCACCCCTCTCCTCTTCCTCTCCTCTGCTAACGGGTGTTAGCTGGTATACTGGTTTCTACTGGTCTGGACCGAGCAGTGAAGAGAGCGTTTGCTGCCTCTACCAGCAACGATCCCCTTGTGTATTTATGGCCAAAGACTGAAGTGAAACCAGAGCAGCACAGACTGCTGCAGGGAAACATGTGGCCGTAAGACTACAGCTGATGGACTGAAAAACAAGTTGGCGACTGGATTCAGCTGCTTTCCCCCTTTCCCGTTACTGAGCGGTTCAGAGGAGAGACGAGTGTGTTTGTGAGGATATATGAGAGAGGACTCCAAATACAAGCGTGCAATGAGTCACACGTGCACACCCAACACACCCACTGCACACTTTTCTGGAGCTCATTGCAAATCGATGTCATGGACAAAGAGATGCAGCTCGCGCAGTCATTCAAGTTTTTATTCCTTAGGGTCAAAGGAAGAGCACTGTGAGTGGACTGGACTATTTCCTGAAATGGACCAGGCTCGGTGAATTCCTGAATCCCTTTCAGAGGAAAAACCCACGACCACCAGAATCAAAAGTTTAAAAGAAGTTTATGTAGAATCGATGCTTTGTTTCCTGTTTTAATTTGTAACTAAAAACAGAAAAGACTGTTTTCATCCTGCTTTCCCATGATTTCAGTTGTTCACAAACTTTGTGTTTTGTAGTTGCTAGTGTGTTCCTCAAAATGTTTTTTTCCTAAATAACTTTTAATTTTCTTTTTTTTCTTTCCCCTCTTCCTCTCTGGTTGGGGGATGGAACGTCAGATAACTCCATTAAAAAACAACCAAACAACTTTAAAGCTGAGCTTCATTCAGGCTGTAATCCGTCCATTCATGTGTTTCTACCTCTCACAAACCGTGCTGGCAGCCCAGAGTCCAGTCCTTACATCCAGCCTCTACTGGGAAATGTTGAGGACTAGACCCAGAACACGCCTGTCATGTTCTGCTCTGTTCTACAGACTCTGCTGGGGCTGCTACATGTTGGCATCATTGACCGTGTTCAGCAGCTCTTCCCTCAGGTTTATGTGATGCTTTCATCAGCTCCATGTACACAAGGAGTCAAAATAGTTTTAATAAGGAAGTAAAAACACAAGTGCAGTCACTACGGTAACAGCACAATAGATTTCTTTGTATTCATAAACACAAATGCAGTACAAGCTGCCAGTGCTTTGACAGTCCTGACATGAGAATGCATGAACTGAACTGATTTGTCAACCATTCGTTAGACTCGGTTTAGACTGAGGCGGGCATGGAAGCTGTGAAAGTGGTGTGAACAGGGTGCAGTGGCTGGTAATGTGTGCAAAGTCCATCCTGGTTACCTGTTACCATGCTTACATTTCCTGACAAAGCAAAAAGTTCAAGTTCAGCTGTGTGGCTGTTTCTAGTAATAAAGCACCGTATTTAACAAGTACCTGAAGATGGTGCGAGTAAAGTACCAGCTTACAGTAATTCATCCTGAGGTGACCTAGTTCCCTGGTGTCCTCCATTAATGGCTAATGGAAACTACCATTTAACACATGCAAATGTTACAGCCCAGGTGAGCGGGCACAGCTGTGGCCCACTCAGCAGGTCGGTCATTGTTGTTGAATTTACACTTCTGGGATTTCTGAAGAAGGCTTCAGCAGGGCAGTTAATGTCAGGCTCAGAAGGAAGAGGAAGTGTGGCTGGCATTGATCCTAACAGCTGATGTATCTGCAGCTCTGACGGATGAACTTTAGTAACTTCCCTAATTAACGTGTCTTTGCACCAGGACACTGGGGCCCTGCGACAGCAAAGACGGAGGTAACATTTCAGGACTCAAAGTTTGATGAAATAAGAAGTTATTTTTGCAGCTGCTCAAAGTAACCGTGCAGATAAATGTCCGGAGTTCGGGCTTGGATGGATCAAGCAGTGTTGTTGTACAGCTTGACTGTGTCATGGAGAAACTGCTCTGGTTGGTTCAACCACGTTTCCTAGCTGCCTCGTCGCGCTTTAGTTTAAAATAATCACTCCCTTTGATCGTCGTGTCTCTGCGCTCTGAATCAAGCGCTAACATCACGAGGTCTGAAGTGTGCCGTCACGTGAACAAGGTAACTCTGCGGGCTCCAGCTATTGGCTGAAAGGAGCAAGACGGCTTCCCCATTGGACAGTTTCTACTACGTCATCTTCGCCGCTCTTGTTTACATCTGATTGTGTTTTGTGTGCAGGTTTGTAGCCGGTTAGCTGAAGGTAAGCGGAGGAGCTGCGCTTCTGTATTTACCGGTTACATGTTCAGTCTCCGGTCTTTGTACCGTAACATGTCCCGGGGTGACTTTTCATTCGCTGCCTGTTGTGATGTGATGTAAGTGGAGCTGTGCGGCGGTGAAATTCCCCTTCGCCCACTGATGCGCTTCTGTTTCGGTTTTCCTTCCTCTCAGACGCTCCTCCCGGCTTGGCCACATCGCTGCATGTCACCTGATTTCAAGAGGAAACTGGCACCTGAATTAAAGGGACTAACTAGCTGGTTAAGTTGCGACACATGCTCTTACTAAACCGGATGGTAAAACCGTATAAAGGAGATCAGTCGTAAAAAGGGGAACCGAAACGGGGCTGTCGACATTCAGCCTCCTTCCCCCAGACGTGGAAAAAGCTAGCCGAAGCTCCTCTCGTGTAAGCTGGGCTCTGGTCTTCCTCCAGCCGGGATGTCGGACACGGACGGTTCTCTCCCTCTGCTGAAGAGGCTCAGCTACGCGGTGGGGCACTTTCTCAACGACCTGTGTGCCTCCATGTGGTTCACATATCTGCTGGTTTTCTACCACTCGGTGCTGGGATTCCAAAACACGAGTGCAGGTTAGTCCGTGTCCGTGTGTCGTCCTCAGCGCGGCCGGTACTCGCGGGTCATGTTTGCACATCGCCAGGCTTTGTTTTCTCTGACGAGCCTCACAGCAGTGCTGTGGGGGTCATTATGTCACCCAGTGTAACGTGCTGCTTAACATTTTAAAGTTTCAGTTCTGACGTCTTCGTGACGCCATCACTGGATGACGTTCACACTCTGACGTCACCACCACGTGTCACGTCTTTGTCCACACGCGGGGGTTGGATTAGGTCTCTTCCTGAGCCCAGCTGAGCGTGATGAATGGTTTCAATTCAATTTTATTTATATAGCGCCAAATCACAACAAAATGCGCTTCATAGATACAGAGAAAAACCCAACAATCATAGGACCCCCTGTGAGCAGCACTTTGGCGACAGTGGGAAGGAAAAACTCCCTTTAAACAGGAAGAAACCTCCGGCAGAACCAGGCTCAGGGAGGGGCGGGGCCATCTGCTGTGATTGGTTGGGGTGAGAGAAGGAAGACAGGATAAAGACATGCTGTGGAAGAGAGACAGAGGTTAATAACAGATATGATTCAATGCAGAGAGGTCTGTTAACACATAGTGAGTGAAGAAGAAACACCCAGTGCATCATGGGAATCCCCGGCAGCCTACATCTATTGCAGCATAACTAAGGGAGGATTCAGGGTCACCTGGTCCAGCCCTAACTATATGCTTTAGCAAAAAGGAAAGTTTGAAGCCTAATCTTGAAAGTAGAGATAGTGTCTGTCTCCTGAATCCAAACTGGAAGCTGGTTCCACAGAAGAGGGGCCTGAAAACTGAAGGCTCTGCCTCCCATTCTACTTTTAAATACTCTAGGAACAACAAGTAGGCCTGCAGAGCGAGAGCGAAGTGCTCTAATAGGCTGATATGGTACTACAAGGTCATTAAGATAAGATGGGGCCTGATTATTTAAGACCTTGTATTTCACTGTCTTTGTCTCTGCACATCCGTCCTCGTTTACTGTGAGGACTAATCACAGTTTAACAGTTTAGCTTCAGCGTGCGGTGCAGTAACACCAAGGTGCAGACGGATATAAGTGACTGTGTCCTTGCTGTTGTTGTGTCTGTTCTCAGTGATTGTTGCAGTAGGTCACAGCGTGTCTCCTTTGGTGCAGGTGTGCTTTTGCTGGTCGGGCAGGTAGCCGATGGTATCTGTACGCCTCTTATTGGCTACGAGTCCGACCGAAGCCCCGGCTGTAGAAACTACGGCAAGAGGAAGACGTGGCATTTAGTTGGTAAGTACACAAAGTGAAAGCAGAGCCCTTTGTCTCTCATATATAAATACATCTGTATATGCGCATGGATATGTCTCAGTCAGATAAACCTCTGTGTTCATAGTGTTCAGCAGAGGTTAAGTTTCAACTGCTTTGGTGTTAATGACATTAAATCCATGCGCCATAGAGGGGCGACACTGAGACCCCTGAACAGATGCTGCTGCAGACATTTTCTCCTCCTCTTTAAAGCCTGACTGGCATTCACCATGAAACAGCACAATGGGCAGGTCCACTGCAGCACACCCCGCAGCTCTGGTACCAACCAGCCACTACTGTTTATCCTAAAATGAACACGTTAGATCATGCTCAGTTCTTTGTTGCTAACCTATGAGCATGAATAATAGCTGAGATATTTATAAATAATGTCATACGGTCACCGCTGTCATCGTGACAGCACAGAGTGCAGGTTTTAGTCGTCACTGTGCACATCAATGACTCGGTGTGTGATTCTCAGAGGTCATGTGCTCTGAGAGTCATTAAGCTGCGTTTGAGTGACGTCTTCATTTTTATTTCTTTATTTTGGGTGTCGTTTTGTTTTAGGGCCTCGTGGACCTGAGACACCAGTCAGTCGTCTGGTCATAGTTACTAACACGTGCTATGGGTAACATACTCTGTAGGCAGCATGTGCACAGAGTATGTGTATTCTTATGGCAGTGATAGCCATACTGGGAATAGTGATGTTTTTGAAGATAAGCTGAGTCTTTATCCATCAGAGTCTTTTCAGTTTTTGCTGAGTGGAAATAAAAGCTGATTGTTTCTGAGCCCAAAACAATCAGCTTAGCCTTTCAGGAGAAACAGTGATGTGAGCAGATTTACCGCAAAATCTGAAAGCTCTGCTTTTTAGGGTTGGTGTGTAAACTCTCATGACTACAGAGATCGACGTTCCCATCGTTCCCACCGTTCCCACCGTTCCCATTTCAAGTGCATAATCCCAACTATGGTGGCTGCTGGAGACCAAACATCAGAAACATTCAGTTTAGACAAAGTTTGCCTTAAACGCTTCAATCCCACCACAACACACAGAAACACTGCTGGATATGACGTCCCTGGAAAATGAAATCATCTTCATTCAAGTTGGATTTTGTTTAGTTTGATGATAACAGCCGTGAAGTTGTTTATTACTCCAGGACTTTCAGTACATCGACTCGGTTCAGTTAAATGTGAGTGGCTGCTGAGACTTAAAATGCACTTATAAAAATTTAGGGCTAAAGTAAAACATGTGCGTGGATATTGCCCCGTCTCATGACTTTAATTGTTTACCGTGCTATTTTCCAGGAAAGTCTGCCATATGAACCAAAAGGTCAAGGTAGGTTTGCACTGATTAACCACAGTCAGTCTGCTGTGCATGTATACATATACATGGAAAGACTGTGCTCCAACACCTACCGTGGATTTTATTGATCAGGTTCACATGATACGTTTTAACACCTTAACGCTGTGCCAAATGTCATCAAAAGTGCAAACAAGAGCCCCGTAGGGAAACCGGCTGAGGCTTGTGCATATTGTTGCCTATTGTGTTACCAAAGCAGCTGTCGAGCAGGAACAAAAGCACAGAACTAAAAGCAGCGGTGCTGAGACGTATGAAAGTTTCCCCAGAGTTCTCGTTGGGCGACTGCGTCATCTCGTTGCCAAGCTGCTGTGCAACATCTGCTGAAATAGTCCTGATGCATGCAGACGGCAGATGAGGGGAAACCAAACCCCTGTAGCACTGAGGTCAGCTGTGAAGAGCTCTGTTCTCATTATGTTCCTCTGTGCTCATCTGCTACTAGTTAATGGGGAGGGGGTAAATGAAAAACCAATAATACATAGATATGATCCGCGTTGTGTCATCTCTTTGCTTCTGTATGTGTTTACATCCAGGTACACTGAGCGTAGTGCTCTCCTTTGCCTTCATCTTTAACCAGTGTGTGGGCTGCAGCTTCCTCACCCCTCAGTGGGCCAGTCTAATCTACTTCGTCCCATTCATCATCATCTTTCAGTTCGGCTGGGCCGCCACGCAGATCTCTCACCTGTCCCTCATCCCAGAGCTGGTCACTTGTGAGCATGCTAAAGTAGAGCTCACCGCGTACAGGTATGGTTAATACACGCGTGCTTTACATGATGAGAATCAAAAGATAGATGCACATCCCAAAGGTTGATGCTGTTCATCTGGATGTTTTCAGTGGCAGAAACTGAAAACATCCAGGAAGTGACCTCACAGCCCAGCGCTCAGTCAGCTGGTTTCAGTCACTGTGCAAATGTCCTGTTTATAAGGTTGAAACCTGCAGTCAGCTGATGAGGATGAAACGTTTCTCCCACTGAAAACATCCAGATGAACAGAATCACCCTTTTCATGTTTCCTCACCTTGAACGTGCATCACGGTGTGAATGTCCACTCTGTGCTTTGTGTGGGAGCAGGTACGCGTTCACAGTGATAGCCAACATCACCGTGTATGGAGTGGCTTACCTGCTGTTTCACGTCCAGGCTGGAGAGGATGAAGACCCTGATTCACTGGGACCAGCAGACATCATCATCTTCAGGGTGAGCAGGCTGACGCGTGGGCACAGCTGCGAGCACAGCACGGTGTAGCAGCATCAGAGTGGGGCTGAAAGCTGTTGGAGTTCAAGCCTCTGGCTCTGCCAGCGTACTCTGTAAGACTGTGAATGTAGATGTGTACTGTGGAAAAAACCCAGGATGTAAATGTCTCTTCCTACACTTGTTTTTGCAGAAAGGTGCACGTTTCTATTAGTTTTTATTCAAGCAGAAAATACAGACCCAGGATTCTTGTGTTTGTTGTTAATGTTATGTTTGTGCTTGGTGCTCCCACCTGCAGTTTTCTGTGTACACGAGCAGATCAGGACAGTGGTGAGGTTTCTCTGGGTTTGTGGCAGCTTTAAACACAAACACTGCTGTATATCCTGCTGCTGCACAAACTCTGTGCAGGGCTGTGACGGGAAGATTTGCCCCCTCAGCAGATTCATTATTCACTTGGCTTTCTGTGAATGCTGCCTCCTCGACGCAGTCACAAGATTAAGAAGCTTTGGGTTGATTATCCAGGTTTCCCTCTGTTCTAGAACAAAGCCTCCTTGAACCTAATTACCTTCATTTGCACACAGGAACAGGCAGTAACAGTGTGACAGCAAAGTTGTGTACTTTTCCTTTTTGTATTTATACGGTGACGACTGTACAGACCACATAAAGCCATCAATGATACTTTTGCACTCAGCATATAAAGATGGCGGCCGCGCTGCATCTGGATGATATTTACTGTGTAGATCAGCTTTTAAAGAGGGGAGATGAAGCAGAAGCTGCCGGGCTGACAGGTGGGACAGAAATGAACAGTCGATAGAAACGGTCCCTAAAATGTGATCCCAGGGTTTGATAACTCCGCCCACTCAGGGCAGCAGGAGCTTGTTTGTAGCAGCGATGATGAGGTGTGCCACGCTGTGTGTAATTGCAGAATCTGTCACTAATTGTTTTGGGGATCGGTGTCGTCTTCTCCGTCGTTTTCCACGTGGGAACAAAAGAGAGCAATGGAGCAAGCGAGGAGTCGGAGGAGGCCGAGGGGGAGCGGAGGCCACTGCTGCCGCGCTCCAACACCTTCTCGTCTCTCCTGCAGTGGAAATGCTGGCTGCGACAGCCTTCTTTCTACCAGGTATGGAGCTTTGAATGACTTAAGCACTGACGCCACCTCCACCCGAACCTCTTCAGAATGACGGGAGCAGCTTCCAAGGCTGGGCGGGCGTCAGCGCCCGTTCAGCTTGAGATGTAGGATTTTGATATCGTAGCTGCATCAGCTTGCCTGCTCGCTGTGTCTCTGCAGGTGGCCGTGCTCTACATGTCCACCAGGCTGATCGTCAACCTGTCTCAGACGTACATCTCCATGTATCTCATCAACACTCTGGGGCTGCCAAAGGTGACGGGAAATCGTCCAGTTCACCCGTAACACGCTGGGTTGTCGTCACGCGCTCATCTTCTGCTTGTTTTTTCCTCCCAACAGAAGTTCATAGCTACCATCCCATTGGTGATGTACGTGAGCGGCTTCCTGTCCTCCTTTATCATGAAGCCTGTCAGCAAACTCATCGGGAAATGTGTAAGTAAACCAGGTCAGGTTTCTGAAAGCAGCACGAGTGGCTCTGAGGGACTCGCTGCGCTCCTCGCTGCGCTCCTCGCTGTAGAAAACAAATGTTTTTGAGAACAAAACGTCATATTTGTTCTTGTCAGTCACGCTGACACGATTGCAGCACAGAAATGGGGAAGGTGGAGCCTGTGCTGTGTTCACAGTAACAATACTTCATTACTCAGTAACAGGATGTGATTGCTTCTGTATCTGTAGAAGTGGGTCACTGTCATGTGTCTTCTGTCCTCTGATTGGTCCAGCTTACTTACTTCGTGGGCCTGCTGCTGATCATGGCGTTCTCGTATTGGGTGCTGCTGGACGTCACCATGGGTCAGCAGGTATACGGGGCGGCCGTGCTGCTGGGGGCCGGGTCCGCCACCATCCTGGTCATATCGCTCGCCATGACTGCGGAGCTCATTGCAGATCAGACGGTAAGACGTGCGTGAAAGGCCGAGGCGGAGGACGAAGGATCCTGTTGTTTGAGCGAACTTGTTCATCTCTTTGCAGCAAAGCGCAGCGTTCGTGTACGGAGCCATGAGTTTCACTGACAAGCTGGCCAATGGACTGGCAGTGATGATCATTCAGGCCCTGCATCCCTGCCAGTTAGTGCACACACACACACGCACACACACACACGCGCACACACACACGCACGCACGCACGCACGCACGCACACACGCGCACGCACCACGCACACACCGCACGCCACGCACAGCACACACGCGCGCACACACACGCACAGCGCACGCACGCACACACACACACACACCCGACACACACGCACACACAGCACACACGCACCGCACAGCACACCACACACACACACGCACACGCACGCGCGCGCACTAGAATCTGGCAGAGTGTGTGTGTCCTCCATCCTGATGCCTGAGTGTGAACGCTGTGGCCTCTGTGTCTCAGTGACAGTCTGCTGAGAATCATTGAGGTTTTTATTGTTAATTAAAGCAAAATTAAACCCTTAAAACTGATGTCAGTTAACTAAAACTCTGCAGATGTGATCAGTGTCAGGTTGTAGTACGACTTGGTTACTTGTTCTGATGAACGGCGTCAGATAGAAACAGTAAACTTTTTTGTGTGTGTGTGTGTGTGTGTGTGTGTGTGTGTGTGTCAGCACTGTGGTGTGCTGTCCTGCCTGTGTGTGGTTCTACCATTACGTCATGGTCATTGTAACTGGAGGCGTTTCCATCGTCGCAGCTTTGGCCCTTTGCTCCATCCTCACTGGCCAATCACAGCATCACGAGGCGTTTCCACGCTCACACACACACACTCACTCACTCACACACACACACACACACACACACACACACACACACACACACACACACACACACACAGTTTCTTGTGCGTCTTCACCTTTTCACTGTGTGTGTTTGCAGGTGCTCTGCCAATCATCTCCAGTGAAGCAAATGGAATCAACTGACAGGGCTCCTCCCACATCATCTCACCACGGGGAACTTTTTCAGGGAACGGCAGGAATCCTGTGGGACTTCCTGACCAGCTGCTGAAACCAAGAAGCTTTCTGTTTTTAAACTGAGATTTGCATCCTTTCAGAACCTTGTTTTGTCTTCATTTTCCAACAAACCTCTGGCGTCGGACTACAGGCCAGCAAACACGTGCACAGCTGCACCTGCACTGCTTTAAAGAATTGAGTCGCACAATAAGCTAGTTTGTAATGATTTTTGAGTACAGTGGCTGCAGCTGATTTCCTCTCACCTCTGCCCCCCCATGATTTTCACTGTGCACATGACAGGCCCGGCTCTGCAGCACTTATTTCCTTTTACTACACGGGGTCAGCCTGAAATTCCCTAAATGTGAATGAAGCCACTACACGGAGTTTGGAAAATGATGAGCAAACAGTTGTGCTCCTTAAACAGACATCAAACATGTTTCACACGTGCACTGTGCAGGAGAGCAGGGCGGGCTGCATGTCGCATTAATGTCCTGGATGACAAAGGGAACCGAGCCCCTGCTCGGAGGAGGACGTGAACGCCGTTCGGTGTCCTCAGCAGTAAAATCTTCCCCAGGTTTCACTAAAAGAGTCATTCCACTACCCCCCGCTACCATTGGACACACAAGGCCGTCTGTACAGCGTGCAGGCTGACGGCGAGGAGGAGGATGCACAGACGACACTAATACAAGCGTTTACCTCGAAGACGTTTGACTGGACTCGCTCAGTGACGCAGGTCAGAGGAAGTCCCTGCTGAGCTTCACCGGCTTGTTTCCAGTTGTGCTGTCCTGGACTTTGTCCCTCAAATGTTATGTAAACTGGAATCAAATGGAAGACGAATCACGTTTGTAATTAAGAGTGACTTGATGAGCAGAGCTGTGTCTGACATTTAAACGCTTCAAAGGGATCAAATGTATTTGATGTGTGCATAGGAGGGAAGGTGGTGTTGGGCCAGAGCTTTGTAATGATCAGCAGGACCTTTTTACTTTGTCTTCTACCTGTGTGATAAATCCTTTATTAAACGGGAGTCATTCCTCTGGTACGTTCTTCTTCTCAGCTGTGAACAGTTGCTACAGACGTCTGTCCCCGAACAGAAGCTGGCAGGTTATAATATTCATACACTATCAAACCGCTGCTTCTAATTACAGCCAGTTTTATGGTCGCAGCAGCAGAGCTGTGACCCCTCGACCGTAACAGAGCTCACTATAACTCAGGGGTGTCCAGCTCCAGGCCTGGAGGGTCCTGCAGGTTTAGATCTGACCCTGGGTCAGCACACCTGAATGTCACAGTTCATTCCCAGGTCTCTGGAGAACTTCAGGACATGTTCAGGTCATTTAGCCATTTAAATCAGCTGTGATGGATCGAGGACACGTCTGCAGGCCCCCCAGGCCTGGAGCTGGACACCTCTGGTGTAACTACTGATATTGTCACCCACTCCCACTCAGTCTGATTTAAACTTCATCATCACTCACGATGCAACTGGAAACCTGCACCTCCCAACACGTGCAACCACACGCAGCCCGCAACGCCTGAAAGGCGTGGAAGGTCCTACAGGTCATAGATTTCCCACAGTGGAGCAACTCCCCACCAGCTGTGATCATAGCTTTGAGTCTGTCTTCACGTGTCCCAGCACCAAACACACTTATTCACATCACCAACACGGTGCAGCGTGGACCATCGACGAGTGGCACGCACATCCACGCACCGTTTCTGCTCTGGCAGCTCCGTATGCTCCGCCCCTCCTCCGCACACGCCCACATCAAAGTGCAACCTGAACTGTTGCTATTCTCATCCCACCTTCACACACGTATCCTGTTTCTGCAGACCTTCCTTTGTCGTTCTGTCCCTCCACCTCTGCAGAGGCTCCACCCTAAAACCTTTGACTGTAGACCTCAGCACGTCTCGTGTGCCCAGCACTTTCACAAGCGTCTGTGTCCCTGCAGAGCACCGCTCTTCTCCTAGCTCCCATCCTGCGTTTTCTCCATAGACCATAGGTGTCCAACTCTGGCCCGCGGGCCAAATTTGGCCCGCAAAGCCATAACCAATTACTATCAGAGCTGGCCTGCTGGTATCATACAGCTAATATATATATAGTTTAGTATTAAGCTTTGCTTGTTCCATATTCAGTTTTCCAGCACAACGTGTTTGAGTCCATAAGAAAAGATTCATTCTTATATCTGGAGGAATAAATATATTTAATAAATATTAATGTTAGCCCGCGACTTTGTTCCAGTGTTGAATTTTGGCCCACTGTGTGTTTGAGTTTGACACCCCTGCTGTAGACGGTGCAGTTCCTGTACTCCATCAACACCCAAGCAAACGGCTCTGCTGTTTCTTGGTGCTTCCTCCATCTCCAGTGTCACCACAGATGCTGGCTGACCGCCCTCCATCAGCGACATGTAGCCGCTGCTGCTGAGCTCTTTATAGATGAGCTCTATGACAGAGGTGCTGTCACCGCCATCTATGGGACGAGGTCCCGAAATAAAGGAATGAATCACGTCCGCAAGATGAAATGTGAAAGACGGAGGTGAAAGTGTGAAAAACCAAACGATTAAATGTACAAACAAACAAACAGGTTCATGTCAAATCTGTGATAACGACAAACAACACGACGCTTTGAATTGTGTAGTTTTATTGCTGTTGTGAGGCTGCAGAGCTGCCAGCAGCAGCTCTCAGCAGGCAGCGCGATGCGCGGCTTTAACGCTGCTGTCAGGGAGCGCTGGCGTTCATCTTCTCCTGGCAGCCGTCCCAGAAGCTCTGAAGTCTGTTGTCTTTGTTGCTGCAGAAGTCGGTGAAGTCTCTGAGCAGCCGGTCCGCCAGCCGCTCGTCGCCCAGCACTCCGGTTCTCCACGCTTTGGTCAGCATGGTGTTGTAGGCCCAGTAGTAGCCCACCCTCTCCTCCCCTCCGAACGGGCCCTGGCTGTTGGAGGTGGTGGAGTTTCTACGGCGGCGCTGCTGCCCGCTCGAATACTTCCTCTTAGCGTACGGCAGCTGCAGGAACACGGTGCCTGAAACGAGGCGGTGAAACTGGTCAGCTTCCCACAAACACAGTGGGTGTCTGTGCTGTGACGGGACTAACCTGTGACGTGGATGTACTGAGGCTTGTTGTCAGACGGGAAATTAAAGGTGGAAGCAGAAAACTTGTCATGCACGAAGCCAAACCTGGTAGAAAGAGTACAGTGTTCACACAAACGTGAAGCATGATGGAGAACGTTAAGCTGAAAATCCTAAACTCAGTCTGACTTCAGGAAACGTAGAACGACACGATGAGCGCTGGCTTCACGCTGCCACAGAGCACAAACCTCACAGGAAAGTAACATGAAGCAAGCGCCTCTTTCTTCCACACAGCTTCTGATCGTTTCATCTCCTGCCCATCACATGTTGGTGTTTACTCGAGTCTGTCCGTTTAGATTCACGGCTGTTATAAGTAACCATGTTTAGAGTTAGCAGCTAAAGCTAATCGGCTTGTATCCAACGTCAAGTTGGCGCAACAGGGTCAGCCAAGGTTTACAAGTGAGATTCAAACACGATAAAGCCGTAGGTCGATAGAATAACAGGAAGTCAAAGAAACACTGAAATGGCTGAAAGAGCAGAACATTCATGAATCTAACGCTGTGGAGTGTTCCTAACAGATCAAAACGAGAAGCAACAGAAGAGTGATGCAGGGCCTCAAGAGGCAGAAACGTCACACTTTCTTTACATTTTAGCCCTGCAGCAGCTAACGCAGCGCTCCATGTGTAACTGACAGCACAGTGCAGACAGCGACTACAACCTGTAGAGGACGGCCTCCTGAAAGAGCTGCATCCTGTCCCAGTACGTCTCCGGTTCAAACCCTGTGTGATGACAGGACACATGTTGTCACTGAGCCACATGGACGCACACGAAAGACTCGTTCAGAGAGGCGGGAACCTTCAAAAAGGTTGTCGCTGCCATTCTTCAGCAGGCAGTGGACGTTCAGAGGAATGAAGAGCTGCGCTCTCAGCGGGTCTCCGTACAGGCAGGACGTCAGCGCGAAGGGAACTTCCAGCACCGGCACCAACAGGAAACCACAGGACGCCGCCTTCCTGTGCCAGCCTTGGACCTGATGGACAGTGACCGTTAAAACCTGTGAATCAGACACTTCCTCTGGGCTCATGTAAAGATTATGGCTGCCTGACGGCTCTTATTTTTCACACTCTCAAAGCACAGCAGTAAATCTGTCACACCGTCACTGTGCTCCAGTGCAGCGGGCGTGTTTGTAGCTGTTCTCTGTGGAGCTCAAACGTACGACCTGCAGCTGTTGTGACGGAGGTCCACAGCGTCACTGTGCACAGCCACACAAACGATTCACTTTACTCGGCCTGTCTCCCCCCGGTGTGGTTCATTCATCACATAATGACACAGTGACACTCCCACAGACAGTGTCTGTGCTCTCACAGCATTCATGTTTCTATTCTGCTACAGCAGCACATGTACATACTGCACGTATACTCTGTGCACACCATGCATCAAACAGAGCTGAGCTGCAGTTTGGACGTTAGAGGGATGCAGCGCTGCTTTGAACCAGGACACGTGCTTACCATTTCAAAGAGCACTGCAGCAGTGACGGCCATCCAGTGCAGCTTGATCTCAAAGGCAGCGTTGAGGGAGAAGTTGCCGTGGTAATAACAGCTGCACCACTCAGTTCGGTCACTGCGGTTGTTGACGTCCACGTCTAGAGTGACCGTCTTCTGCTCTGGAACTGTAGCAGCTACAGGACACGTGGACAAGGGTGGGAAAACAGGAAGACGGGAGACAAAGCAGCAAAGAAAAGGAGAGGCTGAGGCATGATGAAGAGCACAGCTGCTGACGGCTTCATGGACGACCCTCCAAGGTTGGATCGACACTGACTGACACTGTTTTCTAGATTACACACCTGCTTTGAATAAGTATTCATACACAGTCTGGTGTGTGAGCCAGCACTTATTACCAACTAATGTGTCGATATACTATTTTTGTTTCTTAATTCTGAATATTTATATGCAAGCCTGAAGCTCCAGATGTGGACCGTTTAGTGCACATGGCTGCACAGATACAGGAACCTCTGCAAACTGGCACCAGCTTTATCGCTGTGCTAACATTCATGTTTCCAGGTACGGGCGCATTATTCCAGCTCCTGGATGCAAAGTTTAAGCCAGTCCAGCTGCAAAACAGCAATGTTTTAACAAATGATGCATTTAATGGCTGCAGGAAGCAAGAAACAAGCATGAGTGCAGGCAGCAGAGGGACAGGTGAGGACAACGCACACCACAGCACTAGTAACCCACAGCCACTGACACCACAGCGTGCACCGAGACTCCACACCACCAGTGCAACTACTGCTGCTTATGCACTAACCACACAGCATGCACTGAGGGGGCTATTTGATCACATGGATACTATTAGAACTACAGGTAGTGTGCATGCACTGCAGAACACAACGCCAGCTGTCCCGTGCAGATCTGCAGGCGCCCGTGAGGCCAGCTGAGCCCTGCATCTGTGTCAGTGACGGCGCAGGGGGAGGACGATGTCAGGGACAAACACGAATGATGGTAAACGAGGTTTGGATGTTACGTCTGTGGGTTTTACATGTAGGCTCGTCGTTTTCAGTTTGGGGTGCAGCACAGCATCGTCTGTTAATCTACGAAAACTGCAAATACATGCAAAGAAGAAGCAGAAGCACACTGTGCATCAGGGCCACTGACTGCAGTCACACATCGATTCACTGCTGTGCTACAGTTGTCTGTGTGTGTGAGGACTGCTGCTACAAAAACCGAAGGAACAAAGGAAATGTGTACAAACTGAAAACCACGAGTGTTGATGCATCCAAGGCCAACAGCTGGAGGGTGCAGAGTTGAGCAGATGTTGGCCGTGATGCTACAGCCATAATCCAATCCTAAATAACTATCAGAGGCTACAGGCACTCAGGATTTCCCCTTTGGCTTGTGCAGCACTGGACCAACATCCCCAAACAAATGCAGCCCGTTCACCTTTGGTGACACGCTGGGCTCAGCCGGCCCCCTGAGGCAGGCTGCAGTACGATCTGCATCAGACTGCATTAGACGGTGTGGGTCGGGCTGGGTGTACCTAGCAGTGCAGCGGCCTGGCTGCGTCCTCCAAAGCTGCGGCTGAAGGAGCTGTGCCTACTTGCGTAGGAAGCTGGTCGGCTGGGCAGCCAGGGCAGGAGGAAGGCCGGGAGGTCGCAGGGGCGCCGCTCCTCCAGCACGAAGGCCACCTCGAACCACTTTCTTTGGAACAGGGAAAAATCCTCTAGTGCTGCAGTGGACCAGCCCCCGCCTGCAGCGGTGGAGAGCAGGGGGGTGGCGCCTACAGGGGAAACGGCTGTATGAGAATAACCACACGTTTAAAATGTATTCACCGAGTAAAAGGATGTTTGTCCGCGTGCCTGTTCACTCACCGTCCTTCTCTCCCACTATCCTGTAGAAGTAGAAGCCGTAGACAAAGGTGCGCATGGCTTCCCCCGAGGCGTGCGTCACCAAACCTTCATCCAACATTTTCTACATAGAAGTCAGTTTATGGTTACTACAGTCATAGATGACATGGACAGAGGAGAGTGGCTGCAAGCCGAGCCCTCATAATGTCCTCCAGATTCCTCACAGCTGTGGCCCTCAGGGGTCACCCTCACCACAAAACTGACCTTTGCATTTTAGGGCCACAGACCTTGTTTACATAAAGTATCGTCTGTTTTTGAGCGAAAATAAAACGAGACAAGAAAATGTTCAGATTATTTTGACTGTCTGATGAACCACAGAGTGCTGTGTGTTGAACTCCAGTCAGAAAGGTTTCTTTGAAGCATTTATCAAAGTTAAATGGCAGCACATAATCACAGCTGTGGCCCTCAGGGGTCAAACTTGTCCTCATCTGGTTTGATTGATGCTTAATTAATATGAGGTGGATTTTCCCCCACTTTTAATTAAAACTTAATTCAAACATTTTGACACTATTTTTATTGCATTTCAAATCGAAGTCTGATAAAATTTATACCAAATGTTTCTTTGTTTTTGGGTAAAAAAATAAATTAAATGATCAGTTATTGTGATTATTGCTTCACAGCCAGAGTCGGCTGCTTTGACAGATGATCACAGACGGGTTTATGTCAAAGTTCATTTAGAAAGCTGTTTTTAAACTACTTCTAATCACATCTGTTGTCCTCTGGGCTCAAAAAGGCTCCGTTTGCTTTGACTGTTTATAAAGCAACAAGTATAAAATATCATCCATCTCTGTTTCAAGGTTTTATTCAACTTTATTCCAACTCATTACCTGATGATCTTCTATTGTGTCTTCATCATGAAATGATATCACTTTTGTGCTTCTATGATAAATCTTGTGTCAGCATGAAAACTTCCCTGCCAGACTCAGGATGTCATAAACTGGCCGTAGCGACTCTGCTGGATGCACGGCAGTAAGAATCAACACACCCACACACAGCAAAAGTATTCGGCCCCTTGAACTTTCCCACATTTTGTCACATTACAGCCACAAACATGAATCAATGTTATTGGACTTCCAGGTGAAAGACCAACACAAAGTGGTGCACACGTGAGAAGTGGAACCAAAATCAGACATGATTCCAAACATGTGTTACAGATAAATAACTGCAAAGTGGGGTGTGCGTAATTATTCAGCCCCTTTGGTCTGAGTGCAGTCAGTTGCACATAGACGTTGCCTGATGAGTGCTAATGACTAAATAGATGCACCTGTGTGTGATCTAATGTCAGTACAAATACAGCTGCTCTGTGACGGCCTCAGAGGTTGTCTAAGAGAATATTGGGAGCAACAACACCATGAAGTCCAAAGAACACAGCAGACAGGTCAGGGATAAAGTTACTTGAGAAATTTAAAGCAGGCTTAGGCTACACAAAGATTTCCCAAGCCTTGAACATCCCACGGAGCACTGTTCAAGCCATCATTCAGAAATGGAAGGAGTATGGCACAACTGTAAACCTACCAAGACAAGGCCGTCCACCTAAACTCACAGGCCGAACAAGGAGAGCGCTGATCAGAAATGCAGCCAAGAGGCCCATGGTGACTCTGGACGAGCTGCAGAGATCTACAGCTCAGGTGGGGGAATCTGTCCATAGGACAACTATTAGTCGTGCACTGCACAAAGTTGGCCTTTATGGAAGAGTGGCAAGAAGAAAGCCATTGTTAACAGAAAACCATAAGAAGTCTCTCGTTGTCCCTCCTTGTTTGCCATCGAGTTGGCTGTAGAGCAGGTCATCTGCTAATTGGATGGTTGTTGGTTCAATCTCTGTGTGCTCTAGTCTGGAGTTCTTACCAAGGTGTCCTTGGGCAAGTTACTGAACCCCAACTTGGTCTCTGATGCATCCATTGGCATGTGAACGTTAAAAAGCAGAATACAAGCAGAATACACTGTGTATAATGCTTTCAGTACTCGAGTAGAAAAGCCACTGAAGGAGTATGGGACCTGGCGGACACACTTTTCTCCTCTCCCTTATCTTCCCTGCTTATGTCCTTGTCTAGTCTGTGTTTTTTTGTATTTTCCCTGGAACACTCTCTCACAGTCTGTTCTCTAAAACCTAAAAGAGGAATTATGGATTGATCAACTGGTCCCTAAATGCAACTGACACCCCTTTCTCAACGAGAAGTTCTGGGCTCGGGTGAGCCTGAGTGCTGAAGATATCTACCTATTCGTGAACCATGGTAACAGGGTTCTGTGATCGGAGCTGGCTTGGCCCTGACTTATCGAAGAATTAAGAAAGCGGAACCGGCTGTTCAAACCCCCACAAGGCTGCCCGCTGGGATTGGAACGATGGGAGAGGCTCAGAATAAGATCTCTGACTGCAGACTGGATACATCTCGGAAGGGCTAGCTCGGAATAACATCTCTGGGCCAAATTGGATGACATCTCGGGGAGGCACACTGCCGTGAGTTCTCAGAATCGGCTCCTTGAGCACAAGAAATGACAACATCACAGAACGCAAGTATGGCGAAGCTCGCGGCTCTCCAACGGGAGATTGAGAGACCAGTGTTGGACTGTAGAACTGCTTTGAAATTCATATGAGCTGTTCGCACTAAAGTAAAAACCACCATCACTTCATGCGGATACCCTTTGGCGCCAGCTGCGTCTCAAGGCTGGAGCTGAACAACAACACCCTGATAACGACTGTGTTTAGTCTGTTCCTTCCCATTCCATGCAAGGCCACCTGGGTTGGCTGGATTAGACTGTTTACTTAGCCTGGCAGGGCGAAGGACACTGTCTCAGCTGAACTACTGGACACGCACACACATACATATACTGATACTGATAAGCACTCACTGACGCATCACCCTCCCTACCCCGGATCCAACGCCACCTCCAACGCTTACCTCCCCTCTGATGTGGACATCGGGTCAGCTGGAGGCGCAGTCGAAGATTGCAGCGGTCCCAGATCAGATGTACACACTGGAACTCTTTCCCATGTTGCTGTCTGTGTTTATTGTGCTATAGTGTGTTGATATCTGTGCATTCCTGTATTATCCTTCTGTCTTACACATTTCAATGTTTTTTTCCTGGCCTGACCTGTCTCCCCAATGTGATGTTTGCATTGGATGTACAGTCGGCAAGGTCTGTCATCTCGGCTGTGGGCAAAAGACCTGCAGCTGACAAATAAAGGCCATCTCATCATCATCATCATCTCTTTCTTGATCTTCATCATAACTGAAGTGGAAGATGTGTAGTCCTCTGACACATCTTCTATTTCACTTCATAGCCTTCTTCCACTCCTGTGAGTGGGTGATGTGGGGGCTTCTTCAGAGAAAGGGTAGCATGTGCTCTAAATATTGGCAACATTTTCTTTATCTTCTAACTCTGGATCTTCCTGATCATTGATTCTTCTTCATTATACTAGAGGACAATATGTGCTTTGTTCTGCTGCTCATCATTTTCCACAACATGGTAATTTTTTTCCTTTTCATACTTTCTGTGTATGCATCACTGTAGGGTCGACCTTACAACATGAAGCACCTCGAGGCGACTGTTGTTGTGATTTGGCGCTGTGTAAACAAATTGTGTTGTTGGTAAGTGGCCTGTATTTGTATAGCGCTTTACTAGTCCCAACTCTTGAGCCACGATCTTGTTGTTGTTCTTGTTACACATCAGTGATCAAAGATGTGTGAAAGCAGTTTGGTGTGACAATGTGGCCATTTGCAACACATTTGCAACACATTTGCAACACATTTGCAACACATTTGCAACACTTTGGGGTCGTTTTTGACCCCTGAGGACAGCAGGTGTTAGTAAATCCAATAACAACCCCATTAATAAATCAAATTACTTAAAACTTATTCCGATCATGTATAGCATAGTACTGAATAACTCCTGTTATCTTCAGACCATTTGATGAATAAAAAACACATTTTTGATGAAAAAGATTTCTTTTCGGGTCAAAAATGACTCGAGGACAACACAAGGGTTCAAGCAGCAGCTTAGATCTGCCGTGCTCGTCTTCACAGCCTGGCTGAGCTAACACGGCGGGGCCGTCCTTCCTGGTGCGGCGCAGATCCTCCATTAACAAACAGCTTTGCTACATCGTATCTGACTACTGGAGCCACATGCAGGCTGCAAACTAACGGCGTGGCCTACACTGCAGTTATGATAACCATATCCAACTTCTTAATAGCACTGAACTTACTTGTCAGGTTCTCATGTTGTTGCTAAGGATTGTCTTATTGCACTGGAGTCACACTGGGTTAAATATTTACACTTGGGTTTTAAGGGGTATTTATTATTTTCTTCATTATTTTATTTACGGGTTGTACGGAAGCCCCAAATGCAATTTCATTGTTCTCTGACAATGACAATAAATACTAAATACTCACACTCTAATCAGCAGCAACAAACATCCTCCATCTCGTCACATTGAATCAAAGTTGGCACCAGGAAGTCCTACCTGCATGATATCCACCGCCATCCCCTGTGTGGCCACACCCTCCACGTTAGTGACCAGCCAATGAACCACTTCTGCGCTGATAAAGCAGTTGAGCGGCAGGCCCTTCTGCTCTGGGAGAAGCTGTACGCCCGTCCTGTAATGCAACCACACAGACAAATCACTGCAGAGAGTAATAGAGCAGGGCGATATGACCAAAAATACTCATCACCATATACATTTGAAAATTTGCAATAACCATATAATTGAAATTGACCCTAGACAAAATACTTTACAACTCCACAACTTTATTAGTGCAAAAACCCCATCAATGTATTTTCACTTAAACAAGCAGCTGTTTTTTATTTATGCATTAAAGTTATATAAACTTTAACAGTGCAAACTCCTCGCTGACAGTTTAACCAAAAGGCATTTCCAGTGGAAACTGGCCGACACATCCTCAGCATAACCATGTATAATATCCACAAAACTTAAAAAGAGGTTATACACACACAGTACGGTAACATTATGTTGAAGCACAGTACGTATCACTCCGCGAGGCTCCGCCTACGATAGCCGTAATGCTCCAACAATCCATCAAGCGGTGCGGCTTCGTAGCTTAGCAAAGTCGTACTGAAACATTTGACAGATTTTCGAGCGCCGTGCACATAAAATCGTTTCGAGGTCAGTAAACACAACCAGAGTTCATACATAAGGCACACGGGATTATAAGGGGCTCTGTCGACTTTCAGAAAAATCAAAGGATTGATTTTAAGTGTGCCGTATTTTCCAAACAACACGGTAATAACGACGGCCCGCTAGCATGCGCTACCAAAAATAGTGCTTTGTTGTGTATCTGACGGACGAAAGCTAAACCAGTTCCACACCACTGAAGCTGCAGCATTTTTACAAACCAGTTCTGGTTCATCCGTTTCATTCAACGATCCGCTTTCACTCTTCTCATTCTGCGTCGCCGCCATGATTTTTCCGCCATGTGCGTATGTAAACAAAGGCACTGTGCGTTTTACCCATATTCTATCGCCATCATTTTCTTATCGTTGCCCAACATTACACCGGTATTACCGTGAACGGTATGATATGGCCCCGCCCTAGACTGAAACAAAGTGGCACTTTTCATTTGGAAGTTCAGATTGTTAGAAATGTTCTTCTTATCTCACCTGCAGATATCCAGCGACCACACGAACCCTGAAGTATGTTTTTATCTGAGCACGTTAGTTTTGGCCATTCCTGCTGGCAGTGGCCCACGGGGAGACACACGTGCTAACGTTTCATAGATTTTCCTCCGTTATCGTACCGACTCATTGGTCCCAAACAAGCAGGAGACATTAAAAAGGAATCTTACGTGGGATGTTTGATCGCTTCCAGGATCTCCATGAGTGTGGAGGAAGAGGACAGAGAGAGGACTCCTGCTGCAGACTGCCCACTGTGAACACATCAGTGAGTGGAATTAGCAGCTCCGTGCACTGAAGTCACGATACAAAATAACGTGGGCGTTTCCTCTACACGAGGCGCTAAAAGCAACGGTCTCAGTTTAACCACATTCTACAAACTGTTTTTCTGACAAGTGTTGACCTCATGAAAACTTGGATGAGCTTAATGTTTCTAAAGTATCCGAGTACATAAAAGAGCAGGTCACCTGACGTCGGTGCTGCAGGCTGCAGCTTCTCCTGTAGGCTGCGCTGCGGCTCCGGGCTGAACTCCTCTGTCTGCAGCCTCGCTCGTCTCAGCCGCCAGCTACAGTCGCACACGTCACAAAGGTTTCCCACATTACACACTGTTCGTCACTCTGGTGGTATGTGCACATGCCGACGGTGTCAGCCACACCGACACAAAGGACGCGTGTGGGTCTGCACAGCAATGAGCCGTTTAGCACAAAGTCATCTGTTCCCACAGAGACAGGATGTCATTCCCAGTGTGCTTCATGGCTGATGGAAAGCTACCTTTGTGTTCAGGTGCTGAGACAGCAGCTCACAGGAGCTGTGCTTGGAGGCAACGCTGCAGATAATAATGTTTTAGTTGCCTCATCCCAAGCTGTGGCCTAAATGACAGTTTTCTGCTTTCCTCAGCTGGAAAACAAGAGTTAAGATGAAACTTTGATACAAGCTCGGCTAAAATGTAGTTTTGTTTTTTTAAATGTCAAATATTGGAAAACAACACAAACCTTTTTTCTAACAGCCAATGGCTCAGCATGTTTGTGCTCTCGGCTCACGGTGAACATGAATAAAAACATCAAACAAAAACGGAGATTTCTACTGGGCTGTCAACGTTAACGTGTTAGCACGTGTTAGCACGTGTTAGCACGTGTTAGCACGTGTTAGCACGTGTTAGCACGTGTTAGCACGTGTTAGCCCGTCTGCAGCGGAGTGGACGCACTTCATACAAACTGCCTGAGACTCTGACAGACGCATTGCAGGGATTTTGGGTCGTTCTGCGCTGCAGACGGTTCATTGTGTTGACAGTTTGAATTGCGTAACCGTGACGACGAACTAACACGTGTTAACACGTTAACAGCCCTAATTTCTACATGTCAATATATGGACCCCAAGTGGCCCCCGGGCCACGAGTTTGACACCCCTGCTCTATAGTTGGTCTCTCTGTGTTTGTACATCATTAATGGAAAGCACCAGCGTAAGGACAATACATGAACAGATGTGGTCAGGTACAACAGACATGTGCACACCATCAAACATCTGCATGTACAGGCACCACGTGAGGAAACAGGACGGGCTGAGAAACTGAATGTTAGTGATGCAGAACCTGCACTGGATTATTACTAATCTGACACTAGATTCAATGCAATAAGCAGCCATAAAACATGCAAACAAACGTGATCCCAGTGCGAGGAGGCCTCAGCAAACATCACTACATGTGAACGAGCACTGCTGCAAAGCATGCTCAGGCAGCGACACAGCAAACGACACACACATGCACACCCAGCAACCCCGATACTAACCTGAGAGTGACAGATGTAGGAGGAACGAGGGCTACGTATAAAATCCAAAATAAAGGCCGCGTCCTGTCAGCATACAGGAAGAACACAAGCCAGGATCAAACACCCAAAGCAACAGGAACCAAACAGATGACGGCAGGAAGCACATGGAAGGAGAGAAAGCAAGAGCTGCACACCAAAGCACCATAAACGCACACGTGTCTGCAGAAGCTCAGCGTGAAGCAAAAGGACGTGTTCTGCCGGGCGCACACATCCTCACCTTGCGGGGGCTGTCTACGTATGTGGGAGCTGCGGTCACACTTGCAGGGTCACCGACGGCTGCTGAGGGCTTCGCCGTCTCCTCCAGTGTCCTGACACGAAGCACAACATTTATAAAGACTGACACGCTGCACAGCAAACCACAGAATAATTACATAAAGTTCTGTGAAGAACCATGAACGTAATACAAGGCTCAGACAGCCACAGGTCCAGGGGACACGCACTTCTGGTTCTGCTCCATCTCCAGCAGGGCTGACAAGGCTGACGTGCCCTTCTTGCCCTGTGGTGGCGCCACGGGCTCAGCGGGGTACGGAGAGAGCGGGCTGGTCACCTGGAGCCCTTTGAGGGGCGCACTCTTCTGCTGCATATCAGATAAGAAAACGATGCGTCAGCGCCAACAACACTGCAGATCAGTGGTTTGTAACGAGCTCCACTTTGATGTGTTTGCAATCAAAATCTCACCCTGATGATCCTGTCAGAGCGGTGCCGGCGCCGAATACGGTTGAGACCCTCCAGGAAACGAATGAAGCCATCCAACAGGACCCAGTCCCCGCTGTTACCCGCTCCAGCACCCGCTCCCTCCCCGTAAACGTCCCAGTGTCCCTCCCCATCCGCCACCCGACGAGCCCCTCCGGCCGGCAGCAGGAGGAAGCGAGTTCTCCAGAACTTGAGCGAGTCAATCAAACTGGGGAGGCAGAGGAAGTGACTGGCGTGTGCATATTACATACACGATGTGGGAAGTTATTCAAATGCTACGGTAACAGGACAGTAACGTCCCGACAGCACTGCTACCTGAAGTCCTCCGAGCCACCAGAGCAGATGTACTGGTCCAGGTAGTTCCACTTGTACTCCTCCAGTCTCTCGTGTCCAAACTCGACCCAGCAGCAAACAAACTGAGCATCAGAGTGCGGAGGACACAGGCTGTAGCTGTACTGGATCTGAGCCGACTCGTACGGGTACCTGAAACACACGAGCTGCTGTTGGTGCCAGCGTGGCGTTCGCGCTAACATGAGAAACGGTTCACGTATGTCTCCACGCGTCACAGCAGCCAACGATTCTACGGCTCGTTCATTCACAACTGCAGACAGAGTGTCCTGGAGTAGAAAAGTAATCCATTACTAGTAAAAGTAATGGATTACTTTTCTACTTAGTAATTCCAAATACTGCTTTAAGCTATCAATCTAGACAAAAGTAAAGTTGGATTTTAGCCAAATAATTATTGTTTTTATCTCATTACTTATTAACAAAAGCTGCTGCTGCCTCCGTCTGTTTCTACACGTCAGTGTGGATCCAGGCACGGGTCCTCAGAGGGGGGCAGGTTAGCACCGGCAGGCCTGCGCAGGACTAAGAGCCCTGCTCTGACAGGACACGCCTGCTGGTTCTCGTGTTGGTGTATTTGGGCCGGGTGCACTCACTTTGGCAGGTAGCGAGTAACCGTTATGATCTTGTCTTTGAGGCAGACTTTGTGGAAGGTGCGGCCCATGCTGAGCCAGTAAACGCTCTCCTCCTCCTCTGTCCGACGCAGAGACACCAGGCCTGAAGACACGAGAAGAATCGGGTCACACGTAGTGACAAACATCTGGCGTTTCTCTTTAAGATGCCACAGCTGGCACACGGACGTCTGTTCTACGGTTATTATGACTGAAGGTTGACAGATAAGCAGCTGCAGCCCAAAGAGAGGACGCGTCGTTTCGTCTTCATCTACAGACCGGCTCTGCACTCAATGTGCAACTGGAAAGAACAGCATCCAACATCATACGTGCACCCACCATACAGTGATTGAAAACAGAGCTCGCACTGTCACATACCTCGAGCCGGCCTTCTTCTAAAAACTGAAAAAACAAAACTTTTAAATTCAATTTTCAGCTGTAAACACAAACAGATACTCTGAAGACTACTACAAAGTACGGCTGCTTTATTTGTTTCTGCTTCCTCTGTGTTTGCTCAGACTAATGATGACGATGTAATAGATTACAAAGAGTTCTTTCACCTCTGGAGTACAGCGGACTGCTGCCGAGGGGCGTGGCCACAGCGGGCTGCTGTTTTCTGTTATTGGGCTGGACGATGATCTGGTAGCCCTGCATCAGCCTCTGACAGATGAACTCCTCAAACACCTGAGATGCACTCATCACGGGAACGTCATCTTCACGCCTGACAGGAGAACAAAGATGGAGGGCGCATCTTGTTTCAGAAATATGATTGTAGACAGGAAACCTCGAAGTTTCTCTTTAACCAGAGAAATGGTACAGCGCTTTACTCCGTCCCTAAGGACCCCAAAGCGCTTCACACTACATCCAGTCATCCACCCATTCACACACACCACTGGTGATGGCAGCTACATGTGGCCACAGCCGCCCTGGGGCGCACTGACAGAGGCGAGGAAGAAAAACTCGGGTCACTCAGTTATTATTTTATACCAACTGTGGTTTACACCCACGCCTGTGTGGACTGGACACTCGTATCAGTGGTAAAAGGACTGATTCTTAGACAGCTTTTCTCCTCTCCCCGAGTACTCCGAGCGCTCTACACACACTCACAGCCAGTCTCCCAAACACTGACTCCAAGCTGAGTCAAACAACATCCACGCTCCGATGGATGCATCGCAGAGCAGCTTGGGGTTAGTATCCTGCCCACATGCAGACTGGAGGACGCAGGGGTGGAAACATCAACCTCCCGATCAGTAGGTGACCTGCTCTACCTCCTGAGCTACAGCCACCCCCACAGCTGGCTGAGCAGCTAACACCGAGACTCCCTGCTCTTTGTTCTTGCAAACACGGACGGGAAAAAGCTGTTAGGAGCGTGAGAGCAGCTGCACTCTCCACAGAGCGTTTGCTCATTATCTCTACTTGAACATCCACCCTGTTAATGACCCAAAGTGTCCTCGAGTACAAGCTGCAAACCAGTGAAGCTGATTCTGACTCGTTCGGGTCATAACCTGAAACCCTCAAACCCCGCCTACAGACGGGGCGGAGCCTACCTGTCCAGGTCGCTGTGCGGCAGCAGATCGTAGCAGCCCTCGGTGTAGTCGTTCTGCAGCGTCTGCCGGTCAGGGAAGTAGTCCGTGGTAAGCGGGAGGCACGCCGGCGTGGTCAGGGACTTCCAGTCCACTCCCACTGTGCAGCAGAAGCTGGGCACTGTGGGGGGTGCAGATAGCAGCAGGCCTTCACACGCGCACACACACACGCACGCACACACAGCAAAACAACAAATCCCCGCAGCACAGACAAATGCAGGTACCCAGAGTGGAGTGGTACAAATGTGGGGGCAAGGATCAGGGAGCGTGGTGGGTGAAGACAGGGAGGAGGTGCGAACGACACAGAGTGGAAAAGAGGGGAAGAAAAAACAAGAGATGTGTTACTCAGTGGCCTGATGCTCCCGAGGGCCTGACGGTGCGCAGCAGCGATCACACATGCAGATTGTGGTCATGTGACGGTCAGGCTGTGATGGCATCGCTCAGAAAGTGAAAAACGTTCTTAGCAAAGGCGTGAAGTTCTCCTTCATGCAAACACAGAGGTGAACAGTGGGTTCACAAGCTCTGCACCGCCATGCAACAACAGCACACTGCAGAGAGCAAGGAGGTCGCGGCGTTCGAAGACGACAGGACGGCGAATTAATTTCAGCTGCGTCATCAGAAAGTGTTGAGAGAAAGCTAGAAAACAGCAGGACGGGGAGAGGGTGACCCGGCGCCACGTGACCTGTGACGTCGTTTATATCTGCCGACCCCGGAGAGACTCGCCGCCAAAGCCCTCGCAGGGAGCTCGGGCTTTAGTGGCAGTTTGGAGATTTCAGATATTTATGATCCCAGAGACTACCTGCAGTTTTCAAACAATTTGTGATACTCATCAACTGGTCCCATTTCATTTCTATAAAGTCAACTGGAACTTACTGGGATCGGCACCAGCGGCAGAGAAGTCCTGAAATGAGCTGCGGTTGGTGAAAGTTCCTGTGGACAAAGACACAGCAGTGTTATCCTGCATGTGCAGACACACAGCACCAGGCTTCACACAGTCACTGAAATGAACTCTGGAAAAAATCAACCACGTGAGATTCAAACGTAAACTACAAACATGGAGGACATGCTGCCAGCAGGCTCTAACGCTTCTGTCTTCACTGCATAGGTGTCAAACTCTGGCCCGCGGGCCAAATTTGGCCCACAGCCTAATTACATTTGGCCCGGAAAGCCATACAGAATTACTATCAGAGCTGGCCTGCCAGTATCATACAGTGCATGTACTGCTAATACTACAACTCCCAGAATGCTCTGTTGGTGTTTTGGCACGTCATTTTGAATTCTGGCCCACTGTGTATTTGAGTTTGACACCCCTGCCTCACTGTGACACGTGACTAAACCTCACATACACCTTTGATCCCAACACGCCGACGCCATGTGACAAACCGTCCCACTGTTACGCGTTGGGCTGAGGACGCTCTGAAACCAAACGGTCAGAATGAATCTGTGATGAAGGTTACGCTCAGCGGGCTCTTAGCTGGACAAACCGCAGCAGCGCTGACGGCTTTTCATAAACAGATGGTGTGAGAAACTCTACAACATGGTTTTAGTCTCAGAACTTTTTCCAAACCAAACCCTCCGGCTCACTGCCACAGATCCTTTCTGCTCGGTCTGGATAAACGCAGCTAGCTCGGGTGACGCGTAACGAGCACTGATAAGCGCTCAGGCTTCAGCAGCTGTATCACCGCTGTTGTTGCTCCCCGGGCTTCCGGTGAACTCCTCCCCTCCTGCAGCGGGATAGAGGCCGTTGTCTCCTGCGTGGCGCGAGGTGCTTCGCCTTAAATGAAAAGGCAGAAAAAGCAGCGATCACTCGGCGTGCAGGGCTTTGTTTATGGAACAAATGTTTGCCCGCTGAGTGTGACTAACCTTCCGGTGGCCTCGTGATAGGCGAGCTCCAGCAGCTCCGCAGAGGTGTGGGCGGGGTCTCTCTGCTGGCTGTCCTGCAGCTCCGCCATGTTCTGCCTGGTCTGATGATGGATCTGGATGGCCTCCCCAGAAGGACCTGTTGAACACTCGTGTGTCTGAGTCTCACTGCATCAGTCGTTGGCCCTTTGCCATTTAGATCATCTACGAAGGTTACGCGGGATAAGAAACATGGCTGACACCTGGGCGTGTGCGGATGCAGCCAGCGCCGACACACTGCCGGCTTTTCCATTTAATACTTTTAACTTTGTACAGAGACTAGCTGGTGTGTCAGAGGCGGCCCAGGCGATTTTGCACCTGGACCTCTGCCACGTGTATGTTTGGGAACTTCTCAAACACAAACTTTACTGGAACATTAAATATCGATAAATAAACGGGATTTCCAGCTCTTTGTAGCACATGCTAAACGAAGCACGAGCTGGACGGTCCGAGGGAGATGTTTTCCTCCCGTTTAAACTTTGCATCACAACCGGTGCTGACACCACGTCAGAGGGGCTCCAGCCTTCATCGCCTCGGCCCCTCATGTGTGGCACCACTACTAAACTTCATACATGAATGTTGGCAGTGCGCCGGGATGAATTCATTCCACACTTTGTGAACCAAAGCGTGTTTCCTGTGTAAAACCTCACCGACAGGAAACGTGTGCATCCAGCGGCGGCGGTTGGACGTGAGCTTCATGGGCATCCTGGATGGGGTGAAGGGATTGATGAGCGCTCTCTGAGGAGCGTAACCTCCCGGCCGGATGTGCAGCGTGGACTCAGCACTTCCCACTGTGAACCTCCCCGGGGCGCTGGAGTCCCGCTGAGACTCCATCATCTTCTCTAAAAGGTCTGAGCGACACGATGAGATTAGAAAAGGAATGCAACAGCGACCCCTGCAGGTGGGGGGACTTTACCTCTGGTGCTGGTGTATCCCAAAGAACTGCTGACTTCATACTGAGCAGCAGGCATCCGGGGTATCAGCAGCATGTTGGACACGGGCCCCAGGCTGTCATCAGAGGCCAGGCTTCGTTGTTCGTCGGGACCTCCTGAGCGAACCGGAGGGGACGCACCTATGCCCGTGCTGACGTCCACCGAGCCCCAGCTCTTCCTCCCACTCTCTTTGTCTCGAGTCATTCTGAAAGATAAGCAGCCGCTACTGCATCACAAAGCTGAGGGGTCATTGACTGCTGTTCTGTGCTAAATACCCGTTACCTCCAAAAGCACCAAAGCAGTCAGCTACCTGAAGTTTGTGCTCCTCTGAATTCGTGAAGGACCTGGAAGTCGGAACACCTGAGCATCGTAGGCGTCGTAGTCCACCTGTATGGGCAGCGCGTTATCACAGTCCTTTGGCACACAGAGAGCTGGAAAAATGACAAAGTCAGCATCGGACTCCTGCTTCACAAACCAGAGGACGCAGAGAGATCGGTGCTCAGCACTTACTGTGCTCTTTGCTGCTCTTGAACTTCTCTGCTTGAAGCTAGAAATATGTTAATGAGACTTTTAACCACGAAACACAATTTTTCAGGCCACCAACAATGCTGTGAGTAACATTATGCCGACGTACCTTATGGCCAGCGAGTTTAATCCGAGGGGTGAAGGAACCACACGAGTTCTGGCTGCTGGAAGTGTAGAAGCTGTGGACGAGGAGCAAAACGGGAATCAATCGCTCGGCTCCACCTCGCCATTGATCGTCATTTCAATTCAGCCGTAGCAGTTTACACAGAGGCTTCTAACGAGCTACAGTTATGCTGCACATCAGGACACAAGCACGCCCAGCTCGGTGTGGACGAGGCCGCGGTCAGGCCGAGGGTACACTCCTCTCAGCCTGTCACTGTGGCCGTGGGAGCAGCCACAGTGTTACTCAGTCTGGAGCCGTTTCACCAAAGACGTGAGATGAAAGTCATCAGGTGACGGCAGCTTCATGCAAACAGTTGTTGGCGATTATGAAAAATATATTCTCTCTTTGGTCGCTAACGAGTCGCTAACGAGTCGCTAACGAGTCGCTAACGAGTCACCCTAACACGCTGAGGCTGAACCTCGTCTTACTGGCTCCAGTCATGAGGACTTGCCTGTGGTTGATCCAGTGAGGAAGGTTGTAGTCGTCACCCACGCCAGAGTCTCCGGGTGGTGTCCTGTTGTGTAGCTGCAGCGGGAGGGACAGAGCA